CAGGTCCTTTTGTCCATTTTTTGCTACCCAAACAAACCCCTATAGTTACTTCTTAATGTGTAGACTGCTTCTACATCTATCAGCTAATTTTCAGAAAACTCAGGGTCTGGTGTTACTCCTTGACATAAGCAGACCCCACAGATGGGCACTGAGGCTGCATCCAGATGAGCAAGCACATGCCTGTTGGAGCATCTCAAAGCAGTTTGAGACACTGCAGGAGGTACGCTAGGAATGAAAAAATGTTCCCTGCGCTGCATATTTGCAGTGCGGACTCTAAAGAAAACACAGTGGTAAAAAGCGGTGCAGGGTGCACTCCTGGAGCATGCCCTGAAGCAACCAGAGGCTTTGTCCTCCAAAGAAACACTGCAGCACCCAACCAGAGCATTTCTGACTGCTGGGTGCCCTGGCTGCTCCAGCACGCAAACAGAAGCAGAGCTTGGCTGGCAGCAGTGCTTGGAGTTGCCTGGGACCCAGACTCTGTCCCCAGTAGATAGGGACTTTGGGGTGGAGGGGACTGTGTGGGGGTTGGGGAACTATCGGGGTGCAGGGACTGTGTGGGAGGGGTGGGTCCCCTGCCTGCCTCTATGGCACACAGGCCCCACTGCCCTGCAGCAGCAGCAGCAGCAGCAGCCATCAGTGGGCCCTCTGCCACTGCTGGCAGAGACCCCCAGCAGTATGAGGTATCACCTGAGACCCGGGGGCTCCATGTGGCACACAGAGCTGGTCCAGCCCGCTGGCACTAGCCTTCAAACAAAACCAAGCTAACTCCTGCCAACCCGATGGCACGCAGGGCACCTAGAGTCAGGAACCGGCCCAGCCCAATGGCCCTGCCTGCAGTGCCAGAAGCCCCGGGTGATGGCAGGAGTTGGCCCAATCTTGTCCAAAGGTGCATGCCAGCAGGCCAGGCTGGCTCTGTGTGCACTGGCAGCCTTCCAAATTGCTTTAAAATTGTAAATATATCAATAAACCATTGTCCAACTGATCTCTCTATACATAGTGGCCTTTCATTTTAATCATGGAGGAATACAGATTTTGGGTACTTTAATTAGAGAATTTGGGTTGGGTTTTTTTTAGAGAATTTGCAATTTTTAAACAGGGAACACCAGGATCCCTGCTGATGGGACAAGTGGTGAGACCCGATTGGAGGAGCCTGCCCAGGGCCAGCACTGGGGACTCAGCTGGGGCCATTTGGGGCCAGGAGGACATGCTTCAACAGTTCTAAGTGGGCCACTGCAATGAGCACATCTCCTGGGTGATAGCTGCCCAGATGGCAGAGTGGGGGCACCAGAAGACATGACAGCAGTGCTGCATGACAGCTAACCGCAGCCACAACCCATTGGCAGCTGGCCCAGAGGTGCAAGAGACTTTGCTGCTGAGCCTGTACCACAGCCCAGGCAGCCATGTGGTCCCCGTCTGGGTCTGGCAGGCACACAGATATGGGGCCGCAGGTCCAAGGGGTGGATGCTGTCAGGTGGCAGCAGGTCACAGCCAGGCAGCAACCCCTACTGCCAAACTGCTGCAGAGAGTAGAGGGTTTGGGCTGCTTTAGCAATCCATCTGGCACAAGGGGCTAGTGTCCCCAGATTCCAACTGGATGGGTCTCAGAAGCTCCTGAGGGCACGTAGCCCTTAGCTGCTCACCCATGCTGGTTCGAATCCCTAGCTCCCCCTGGCTGAAGATCTGGGAGGAGCTGGGCAGGGTCAGTTTGACCCAAATGGCACACTTTGCCCCCTGACAAATCTCCGGCACAAATTTGTGCTGCTGCTATTTGAGCTGCTGCAAGCACACGTGCCTGCATGTGTGGACACACACTGAGTGTTCAGAGTATATATTTATCATTGTTAAGTTTAGATGTGCCTGAAACTAGCATCATTTGTATGGCATCTGGACAATCTTAAGGCTATGAATAGCACTGAAGTTTGCATTATTTACATTGCCTGTCTCTACTAAATACCCAAACTAAGATTTGTTCAGTACACTGGGTCTACTTCCTTTACTTTTCCTAAGAGGACTCAGAGGTAATATGGTTACATTTTTAATGACTACAAATGGCCAATGTTTTCTTCATTTTACATCTCATCCAAAATACAATGAACCATTTTTTTCCACATACTCTTTATTTGACTTTATGATTCATGGTCCAAAAGCTGTAGTACTAACCTTGTTTACTGAAGATGTGTAAAGAGATTTTACTTTTCTGGTTCTAGTGCATCATGAGTCTAGGGAAAAATGATCTTTCACTTTATTAAGTAAAAAGGAAATTACTCTACAAAAGCTGTGTCATATGAGAATTGGTTAACTGGACTGGCTAGAGCAGTCAGCCTAGTACATCAGTATTTTCTGTTGCAAGTACTATCTGTGGAAGAAACCTGAGACAGGAAATTCCTTAGGTTGCTTTCTGAGGCAGTGGGTCATTTTTCCCACAGTGGCTTTTTGGTATGACTTACTGCTGCATATTCTTCAGCATGAGAAATGACGAACCAGTCACTAGAAATGGACTGTTTGCTTACAACATCTTCTGAAGTTATATAACTCCCACATTTAATGTCTTTTAATGGACAAGGATGTAGTTACCCCTAACTTCTGGGTAAACCTTTCAAGACATTTGCCTGCTTGTTTTCCTTAGTTTTTCTACGGGAGGGAGTGAATGGAGGGGAGGGTATTGGACCCGATGGCAAGTAAGAACCTTTTGTTAGCATTAATCCAATTTGGAAATATTGGTTTAATAATGGTTTTACATTTGGCTGGTGTACATGTGGCTCTAAAAATTGTGATTAGCAGCAACGGCCTATATCCTAGACCATGGGCAGGTCCAGAATTTTTAAAAGGTAGGTACAGATGGTGAGATGCATCATCACATATAAAGCAACACATGTTTTTATTTAGTTAAAAATAAACTAGTAGATTTAGTAATATGCAAGACCTAGGGCTGTATAAATCAGTTTTAGATGGAAGCAAAAACAAATATAACTTAATTGGAATGAGTTTAAAACAATCTGTAGGGCATAAAATAGGAGCTTCGTTATCAGAAGCACCTAGCAGGTAGAATTGCCAGAACAAAGGACAGCTTGACTGGTGGAACATCAAGACTATTAAAGAGAAGAGGGCCATTAATACGGGTGGAATGAAGAGGTTAGAAGGGATCAGGTAGATTATAATGAGCCATGAAGGCAAGTGACTCCCTCGCTGTTGCTTGACTAGAAGTGTTGTTGTCACTGCCAGGCAGTTGGTTTAAACTTTGGGTGGACCAGGAATCAAAGGGGTGCATGTACACCCCCCTGGATGTGCCCTTCCTAGACCTAATATGTAGCTCTGTAAACAGAAGGCAAATGCACAAGTGTATTGGACAGATCTGTCTGTTGTACACTGCCCAGCCTTAAATCTACTCTTAGGTCTAGTCCATACTCTGCAATGTCTATTTTGCAGTGTGTCTATTGCATGCTGTAACAGATTATATTTTCCTGATTATTTATACCTGCATTTATAGAACAAAACTTTTACCCAATATTTGTATGTGCGTTATAATCAATAAAATAAAAAATTCAAATAAGGCTCCCTTGTAATAAACCCCGATGAGCAGTTTCGGGTCATTTAAACATAATGGAACAGATTCTCATCTGGTATAAATTAGCATAGGTTCTACGGAGTCCTCATTCAGGAACATTTTTCATTATCTTAGATTAGTACTTCAGACTGTGGCTCTAAATCATCCAAAAGAAGTTTGAAGGGATGTCAGATCTGGGCACAGGATTGTAGAATGAAGAGAGTTCTCATGAGCATGTCTTCCTTTTCCATTAAGATGAAAAATCTCCCCATAATGATTTTTGGTCAGCTAGTGCCTGCATATAGATAGTGTCAAAACTGGATGGTTGCAAGATGGATTGAAAGTAGTTGGGAGCCAGAGGGTCCAAACTCCTCCAAAGCAAGGGTGTCAAACTCATCCAGCCCCACAGTTAGATGACTGGTGAGGGGCTGGTCTCTGGGCCAGACTGGACTGGATTGGACCACCAGACTGCCCCCATAGATATCCTGTAGTGGCTGGAGTGGGTGCCACTTGCAGCATGGTCCTGCTCTGGTCATTCTAGGGCTATACTGTAACCTGGGCAGCACTGGCCAAGCCCTCAATCATTTCCTCCACATGTACTGGAGGCAAAAAAGCCAGCACTGTTCACATGGCTGCTCACCCTATCCCCCCTCCTGCCTTTGGGCCTCAGCAAGATTTACAGGCTGGACGGAGGTCCTATCTGCCTCATGCCACACCAGAGATGTGGTGCCCATGCAGGGGAGTGTTGGTTTATGGATCAGCCCATCATGCAATCTGGGGAGCAGGAACCTGGACACGGGCAGTTGCCAGTGCACAGCATCCCCCTTCCCCACAGCTGCCCTGCACCTCAGACTTGAGGCACAGCACCCTGAGCGGATTTCAGCCCAGCACTTGTCCTGGCTGGTGTGGCACCTCACCCACTCCACTTTTCAGGTCTCTTTGGCAGAAAGCCCGAGGCAGCAGGTCCTGTCCATGGGGGAGCTCCTCATAGGTGCTGTCACATGGCCCCACACCCTCGCCCACTTCCACTTTCCTTTCCTGCAGAGCCTGCTCCAGCTTGCATTCTGCAATGTGGAGTGGCTGCCACGTGCTGCACACATTAGCCACTCTTCTGCTCTAGGAAGTTGTAGTGGGTGCTGGGTGAGGCCTGCCTGTTGCTTGTGGGTCACTCTGAGAGTCATGAGCAGCACTGGAGGCCAAATGACATGTCTCTGTGAGCCAGATACAGCCCATAGGCCAGATCTTTTACACTTCTGCTCCAAAGGAAGCATTCTCATATTTAAAGCTATGTAATGAACCAGGACTAAAAGAAGAAAAGGCAACGGATTCAATTTCAGTCAATGTAACCAGGATTTTAATTATTGTGTTTCTTATTGCCAGTGTACTATGAATCTCTATCTATGCCATCCAAACAAAATATCCAGATATCTTAATGTCTTCTTTCCTCTTTGTATTAGGTTTTTATGGGCAACTTCAGACTTTCTGCCCCCCACATTACACTGACACTCAGAGGAACATGCAACATGGTGTTTCTTGTAATACAATCCCTACTTTTGATGACTGCCTAGTTCCCTCCTCAATGGGCCAAGCAGGGCTCGATGTTTTCCACAGAGCCTTTTCAGCTCATTCTGGTATTACAGGTAAGTGACTATTGTGGACTAAAAATACCAAGGCATCTACATTTCAGTCATAAATGTTACCAAGACTTGTTGCTTTGTTGACTCTGTTCCAACTAAGGATGATGCTTGACTCCCCAAAGCTCAGATGTGTATCAGTACTTTTTAGGGTGTTTGGCTTTAGGGATGTGGTTCAGGCACACTGTATGACAGCTGGCATGTGTACAGATTGTGTTGGCCATATGGCTCTCTAAATTCTAAATTCCTCTTTGGGTGAGACATATACTGTCACATGTATTCACTTTGTAATACTCTCCCCTAAGGCTTGTATAGTCTTTCTATTTCTGTGGTCTGCTAGAAGCATTGTAGCAGCTAGCCAGGATGACTCAATCTATTTTTTTGGCCTTATGAAGTTTTGACCAATCAAAAAACATTTTTTTAGTCATGAATTTTAGTTGACTAGATTTACATAACAAGAATGGGCCTGGTGCACACACAGTTGGTCCATCCTCACATTCTCACACACACACACACATGCACCACACAGAGTGCATGTGTGTTTGTGGGAGTGTTCATATATGTATTACTGGGTGAAATGCTAGCCTTGTTCAGCATATTTGGAATTTTACCATTGGATTCAATGGAGCAAAGTTTTCTCTCCCATACTAAGCAATTCAGGAGTTCATAGCATGGATTTTTAAAGAGGTATGTTCAGTATGAATTACTGTACTTCTGTGTAACTACTACAGACATCATCTGAACATTGTTCAGTGCTAATGAATGATTTCTATATTTTTTTCTAGTTTATGATCTTCCATCAGCACCCACAGGTATCTTTGGTGATTCGTTCCGCAGTGGATCTGAGGACACCAGTTTCCTTCAAATAAATGCAGTGGATCGTTGTCCTAGTCAGCTTTCCTCTGTCTATACTGAAGGCTAAAAATAGTCCAAGGCACATCATAATGCTCTTGCATATCATCTTTCCTGTCTGATGTTCAGGATGAGTGTTATATTATTGTTCATATATAAGACTGCTACATGTATGCACATGTATCTGTGCATATTCATACCTACTGGACAGCAGGAAATGCAGTCGCCAGTCAGTCAGCCTCACAGAAGTAACTGGTTGAAGGGGAACATGGTTTTAAAAAAAGAGAGAGAGAAAGAGAGAGAACTTTGCCAAAACTTTAGCAATAATTTCTTTTCTTTTGTTCTGCTGCATGGCAGCACTGCTGTTTTCTTAAAGGGAAATCAAAGACTGACTATAAGAGAACTGCTGCTGCTGTAATCCTTTCAAGCAGCACTGGTGGCATCATTTAAAAATGTGGTTTTGGAAAATCCTTTTTTAAAGACTAAAACCTGAGAACACTACAAACATTTTAAAGGCACATTTTTTGCACAAGGTATTTGTATGTGGTGCTTCCAAACCTAAACACACACAAAAACACAAAAAAGGGAGAACAATTTAAGACACATCATGGAATCACCTGTTGGATGCATTGTTGCGGTTTCTTTGTGAAGCAAAAAACCACAGATAATGGATTTCCAGCAACCCTTGGTTTGGTCTTTTCTTCCCATTCCTCTGGCTTTTCAGTCTTTCAGAATGGCTATTACTATTTTTTCACTGCTTCTTCTGTTTTAGTATTTTATACAATGAATAAGAAGAGTGTAACTGCACTAGCTTAAATGGTACAAGGACTTCCTTTGTATCTTAGCACTGCTGAGGGGAATTTAATAAATAATAATCTTCCTGTATAATTTTTAACCACACTGTTGAATTTAATAGACAATTATATCCCTGTTCTAGATTCTGTAGGAAGGTTAAAAATAACCTGTAGCAAACAAGCATTTCCCATTAAATTTTGTAGGGTTTTATAATAAGTTTGTATAGAAGCCATTCAAATCTGTATTGATCCTCTTTGGCTTTATCCCTATACCATTCTACAGGGTTTTTCCATTAGTGGCTCCTCCAGTTAAGGGTTTGTTGGTGTTTAGAGGTCCACAACTTGGCTGTTATTTTTTTTCTTTTTAACTCCATGCTGAAACTTTGACCTGCAAAGTTTCAGCCTAAGCTATGACCAAATCAGTTCAGCCACCCTTAAAGCCACATGTGCCTAGGGAAAAATGAAGTTTTGTGTAGATATATGAGTTTTGTCATCATTGTGCTCCCATGTAATTCAGAAGCGTCTTTGCTGATTACTTATTTAAAACTATTTTTTTAGTTTTTCATCCATGTTGTGTACAAAATCTTTTGGAATTTCTTAATGTATGTTAATGTTTGTTAATATTGTGATGGCTTTAGATTAGGACCTGAGACAATATGAAGAACTAAGATCCAAAGAAATTATTGTAGTCCAGGAAGTTGCATGCTGCAACTTGTCAGAGCTTATTCGCACACTAGGCCATAGGAATTCCAAATGAATCCTTAGTCTACACGACTGGATTTCAGAAGTCATTTAAAAAGCTACTTTACATGAGATGTTTTTGTGATCTATCAAGTAAAGTATGGGCCAAATTAATCTTGGATTTCACAGTACTGACTTTGCTGGAGTTGTACCAGGAATGAATTTGGGATAAGGGGTTTCTGAATACTGACAAAACACATCTGAATACACATACTCAAATGAGAAAGTTTAATCTATTTTATAAATGTAAAGTATACATTTAGAACACTTAATTTCATAGCAGTATGGATCAGCTTAATTCCAGAAATTCTGTTTTAAATCCATCTATTTTCTTCTCGCTTTTTCAATACTAGGGATGAACTTGACCCTCTGTCTTTACTTGTGTCATTATGCCTAAATCAGTAATTTTTAATCAGGGTGTTCCAAGATCCTTCTAAAGGTGTTGTGGGGTGGTCCATTGTTAGGTATACAAACACCTACACATGATTCATAAGATAAACTCGGACATTTCAAATAGGAATCCATAGTGTCCAAAACATTTGGACCTATTATAATCTTTCAATAGAAGAATTGTTGTTTAATTTTCTTGCAGTCAAAAAACAAGTAAAAGCCAAGATATGGTACTTTCTGAGGTGTGCCTTGAATCTAGCAAGGTGTGCCTTGAGTCTTAAGGGGTTGATAACCACTGGCCTAGCTATTATGATGTACTGTTTGCAATGGCAAAGAATAGTACAGATTCACCTGAAGCTTCTCTACCAAGCTGAAATGCAAGGCAGTTGATGACACAGACATATATATCATTTACATTTGGCCCAAAGAGTTAACCTTGAGTACTCCAAAGAGTACTAGACCTTGACTCTAGTAATTTTTGCTAGAGATTTAATTTTATCCTATATTAAAGCTTCATCCTATGGCCATGGAGCAAGCATAACTCACTTGGTCTTTTGCTTAAGGCAGAGGTCAGCAATCCCCAGCACACGTGGCAGAGCATGGTAGGCAGGGCCATTTTCCTCAGCATGCCACAGCTGACCTGAACTCTGGGCAGCTTCTGCCAGCAGCTGCCCAGAGCCCTGGCCGACTGCAGCTGGGAGGCTGCAAACAGCTGCATGGGGCTCCACAGCCCTGGCACCAGTTCCATGACTACCGCAGCTGCGTGTGCACCTCTGAGTGCATAGCCAGGGAGGGGTCTGGGGCAGCATAACCCTGGCTCCTCCACCACTATCCACCCAGAAGTATGTGTACAGCTGCTGCCACCATGGAGCCAGTGCTGGAGCTGCAGAGCCTGGCATAGCTGTTTGTAGCCTGCCAGCCACCTAGTACAACTGCTCAGAGCCTGGGCTGGCTATGGAAGGCACCTGGGAGGCTGCAAACAGCTGTGCTGGGCTCTGAAGCCCCTGCACCAGCTTCTTGGCAGCAGCGGGTGCACACGCAGCTCACAGCACATGGAAAGGGGCTGGGGCAGCATAACCTCAGCCCCTCCCCTGCAATCCACCCGGAGGCACGCATGCAGTCACTGCCAGTCATAAGAATCGGGCCCCTTGTGGCTCCCCCATCTCTGGCATGCCAAGTTGACATCAATACAGGGAGAAATAGCTCCTTGGATATGTATGTTGTCAAATTAGCTAAGTTTACCTTCTAACCAAGACCCCACCAAAATGTGTTGATCACTTAGGCTAGGTACAGATATTCAAAAAGCCCGAAGCAAAATCTAAGTTGCGTGTTTTTTTGTAAGCAACATAGTTTAGATCAGTAGTGAACAGAACACACATTCACCATCTGTTGTGGGGTGCAAATATTAGACTGGGTTCTGCCATTTTAAAGCCAGTCTATATGTACTGTACTTCTGTTCTGTTACAGGTATAGGCTGGTTTCTGATCACTTCTATCAGTACAAGTGTAATGTCTGTACCTGGCCATACTGTGTGTCACAAGTGGAGATAACTGCAGAGTTCAGATTTAGACCTCTCTGACCTTTGAAGCTATTGAAATACTTTTTTCTAGTCTGTGAACGCACCAACTATGCAGCAAGGTGGCCTTATAATGGCAAAGCACAACAGAAACAATAGAAGAAGACCAAATGAAAAGTGGACATTGACAGTTTTCCTTTTTATCAGCTAAGTTTGAAAAAAAAATACTCTTAGAAGTCAATCACATGTTTTATTGGTTTTTAAAGTGCCTTGATCATAAAGTGAAACACAATACTGTCACCAGAAGTACATGGAGATGGGCTACCTCCCGGCTTGTAGAAAGGTATGCCTTGTTTACTTATATATTAAAGAGTGATTCCTCATGATTATTTCATTATTCCCATACGAGTACAGACAGACTTCAAGAGATCAACTTGGTTCAATCAGAGAGTTATAGGCAAAAGAACGCTTCTATATAATTGTTTTCTTGAATATTTAAATAGGGAATTGTTTGTCACGTTACAGAAGAAAAATGGTGCTTATGGAAACATACAAAGTTTAATGCCAGAGTTTCATGCAAATACATGTGCCTCATTGATACGTTTTGTTTTAGATTGCTGGATAATGTTAACTTTCTAAAGGGATTTATATCTAAAAGATGGTTTTATTTTAGAAAATGTACATTAGACAATATTATAATTAAGTAATTTACAATAATTCTTTTTATATCATTCTGTTTCTTGGCCTCAAATGGTATATTTATGTCTACAGTAGAAAAGGGTCTACACTGGAGTTGAAAAATGTAGCTTCAAACAGCATTTTGTATCAAAAAGAAAGACATTATAGTTTACTAATACCAGTTGCTGAAGTGTTGCAATGTTAATGCCACTTGTCATATGATATTGTACTTTGTGATTTCCTTAAAGAGTTGTGAATGACTTTGTGAAAAAATCATCTAAATGTGTTTGTTCCCAGTTTTGACTGTACAATTTTTAGAGCAACATTTTTAAACAGCACTTTTTGTTGTTTGTGTGAAGTTGTCTGTTTTATTATCTTTTCTAGGAACAGATGCAGCAAAAACCCACATTTAAAAATTAACGGGGTGTGTTTTTATTAAGAAAAATCTCTATTTTATACAGAAAGCAGAGTATCTTGTGTAATATTTTTACACAAAGCACTTTGGTGGGGAGAGGGAGTGGAAATATGTTTTCCATCAACCTTAAGACACTTGTACATATTTATACATGTTCACATATATAGATTTGAACTCCATATACCATACTGTATATCTGGATGATTTTACTACAGTGTCACATCTGTTGCATATTGTAAGTCATAAATCTTTTGAACAATTAGTTACACTTTTTTCTATTAATATGTATACTTTTGTGATTTGTTACAGTTATGTTTCATATAATCGTAAGTTATTTTTGTCTTGCTTCTTGAAGTCCTTTTTATGTAAAAGGTAAAATGAAGGGTTTGTGCATATGGTACAAAATAAAACTGGAAATTTATAACACACTGACATGACTGATGGAATGTCTTGTTGTGGGTGTCTTAGAACAAGGCTGCTCCAGCCATTGTTTTTCACCATAAAATGCTTAGTCTTTAGACTGCTTAATGTAATTAGAAACAGATATAAGGAAAATATTTCAGAGTTTTCTTCTAAAAAGTCATCTTTCTTTGGGTCAGAGTTGAAGACTGGATATAATTATGGGATATACGAGGGCTGGGGAGCTGCAGAAAAAAATTATTGCTTCTGTGTGTGTTTACTTGGTGAGAGGGGGCATAAATAAAATATGAAGCTTTATTTAATTAAATCTTTTGTACTTTTAAGATTTTTTTACATTGTTGTTTTGGTTCACAGGCTTCTCCAAACTAAATGCATACTGGGATGAGGAGGAATTTAAGACTGATGCATTATTTTTCTAAATATGCCTATGGAATTCTAAACTCATTTCAGAGACTTGAACACAATGGAAATAGTCCCTAGCTTGTCTTATCTTTGGTGTATGAGGAGAGATGTCAAGCACAAAAAGCTGGTGCTCTATCAATGCCAGTTCTATACAAAAGGTAGGCAGTGTGGCTAACATGGCTAACCACCTCTCTGTTTTATACAGCAGGTAACCTGGACAATACAAGATACATTGGAAACCAGCTAGTTATCCCTCAGCCAAGTTCAAGCTACAATAAAAGATATTCCAGAAATGTTTTTAAATCATGCCAAAAATCTAAACCAAGAAATGGTGTAAACAAACATCTCACAAGGGGAGCATGCTTCAAGAACTGACCATTTTTAAAGACTGTTAAAGTTGTCAAGAAAGTGGCAGGCAGGAAGTAAAGCTGTAAATAATCAACAAACTACTTTGAGATATTTGTGCCCAGGGCTCTGAAAATAACAAGCCAGATTCAACTTTCCTAAAAGTCTGTGGCAAAACTGAATCCTCTGAATCCAGAGAGAGCAAGACAAAAAGCAGCGATTTAAATTTCTCTGTTTGTATAACTATTGACTTTGATGGAGTTAAACCTGGAATGAACTTTGCCTGATACAGTCTATGTTATACTAGATCTGAAGTTAATAAAGGGTACTTGTCAAATGGTTTATCCATTGTCCATGAGTTCAAATAAAGGGGACAAAGAGAGAATGAGATTCTTAGAACAGAAGGAAAATGATTTTGAACATACAGTGTGGCAGGCCCTGCTCTACTTTCATGGCAGTGGGGGCAGGATGCTGTTGTCAGAAATGAGGAGGGCAACCAAGGCCTATACCTCTGCTGACCAATTACAGCATTCCCTTCCCCACAGATGGGAGAAGTGAGGCTTCTTTTGTTTCCCATCACCTCCCAACACAACTCCTTGCAAATTCTGCAGCCATTGCAGTAACTGCTAGTGACCACAGCCCTGCTTAATCTATGAAATAGTGAGGAAATTCTAAGGGCCTGGCCACACAATGGTGGCAGTAGCTCTGACTAGGTCCTTTCTCAGCACGCTGCCTCATCCTACTTCCTCTCATGCCCTATGTTGTCCTCCCACCCTAATACCTCCCATAGCAGCAGGCTGCCACAATATTTGAGGGGGGGCAAGCAGGAACACCCTGCCACCTCTGTATTGCCTTACTCTTGTGCTTACACTTGTGGTGGTTAGATCCCCAGCTGGAAACATTAAGAAGGGATAGCTGAAAGAACAGAAGCAGAGGAACCTGAGGGCCTTGTCAGATGTTAAACTTAAGATGTGTTAACTACACTTAAAGGCTAGAGACAGACATTCAAAAAGGCTGAGCCTGAATTGATTCAATCTTTGCAGGTTAGTCTAACCTGGCTAGGCTGGGTTTGTAACCACATAGACATGCCAGAAATGCAGGCACATGCCTGCAGTGGCTCAGGGTAGAAGCCAGGGGGTGTTACAGCAACCCTCCCTTACCTTCCATAGTGCTGAGCTGAGGGTGGGCAGGGTGAGGCCCTGGCAGGATGCTCTGATTAGGAAGGGGTTCCCCCTCCCCTTCTGAGCAGCCCATCAGGGAGTTGATAACAGTGTTTATCACCCCTAACTCAATGTTTATCACCCCATCAGAAAGCAAAGCCTCTCTCCATTAGTTCAAGCTCTTCTTAAACAGCTTTTCCAAGGAAGAAACGGAGGGATGTGACCAGCTACCTGTTGATTAGCTCCAAAAAGCCCTAAGCCCACACTGCTGTCTGCCTTTGTCCCATCTCCCACAGCGCAGACCATAGTCAGCATGTGGTATGATAGCTAATGTTGAGAAGTGTCTGTGTAAGGCAGAGGGGAGCAGGGAAATCCCTGCTTCAGCAGGGAATGGTGAGGGGAGGGGGCGAGCAGGAGGAAACCAGGCAGACCCTGCTGTACATTCAGTCTCTGCTGGAGCTCCAACCAGGGAGCAGAGAGGCAGGGCCAGCCCAGCTCTCTGGAACAGAAAGCCCCACCCAGCCCCCTGCTAGCATTCTGAGGCAAGGTGGGGGAGGGGTACAGTACATGCATCTGTTGATGATACGGAGCTTTTCAATCTCCCTCCCTGCTTCTTTATACTGTCTGCAGCAAACTGACAGGAGAGCAAGCCAGCAGGGGGCTGATAACAGTGTTTATCACCCAATCAGCAAAACAATAACCTCTCTTCATTACTTCAGACTGTTCTTAAACAGCTTACCAGCTGACCTGTTGATTAGATCCAAACAGCCCTAAGTGGTCACTGTTCTGGCTGCCTGTCCCAGTGAAATTGGAAACACACAGGTCTGCATTAGGTAGCATACCACATGCCTAGGGTCTGTGGAGCTGGGGTCCCTGCTGCGAGAGATGGGGGGGGAGGGATGGAGGTGGGTATTTCCTACTTGAGCAGTGAGTAGCAAGGGGGGAGGTAAGGGCAGGGGGAAGCCAGGCAGACCCTGCTGTGCCTGCAAGTCTCTGCCAGAGCTCCAGCCAGAGAGCAGAGGGAAGGGGCTCACTTTGCTGTGGAGCAGAGAGCCCCACCCAGCTCAGAGAGCGTGGCAGGATGCTGGGGGTGTCTGGTTTATCTTAAACCAGCAAGGGATCTGAGACAAACATTGTATAAACCAATTTGAGCCAAATCAGTTAGATCTGGTTGAATGTAGTATCAAACTTATCTCAAACTGGTTTCAGCCATTTTCAAACTGGTTTATGTGCCCAGCAAACCTCATCTGACCCTCAGGACCCGATAAGTTTGATACCCCTGTGATGGGTAATATGATTAGGAGATACTGTTGCTGGAAAAGTCCTAACTTTGCTATGCTACAGTTGTTTGCCAGTCCCAGCCCTTGCAGCACACTGCAACCCACTGGAGCCTTTATGGCTTTGATGCTTAAGATGTGTTTTATTTAGTTTATAGTAAGCATTATGCCTGCGCGAAGCGGCTAGTATTCACTTTGGATTCTGATTCAACCAATTCAGGGGGCAGTGATTGGATTCGGTGATTCAAGTCACTGTCCCAAATTGATTC